GTTTCAGCTTTTTGATTTCAGCCTAAAGCAAACTTGGGCAGTTCAATTATAAGCCACTGAAAAATGAGGTTTACAATGAAAGTTTTTTCTGATTATCTACAGCAAGGCAAGGGGTGTTGATACCATACAGTGGTGACAAATTTCTCATTGCTATGTAACCTACAGGGAGCAGTTTATCATGTTGCTCAGTATAATTATGTATTGCAGCAAAAGCAGACATGCTGCAATGACAAGATTTTCCAAATATGCTTCCATTTGAAAAAAGGCATCATGCACCTTACTACTTGTTAGTTGCAAAAGTGTCCCATTCCTCTTCTGTATGGACAGGCATTTTGTTTAGGCTGAAGCAGACATGTCTCTTCTACATTTTACTAAACTTGTCCCAGGGCCTGCAAAATATGACAGGGGTCCAACTCAATGCCAGGTCTCAACATTGGCCCGCCCACCTGTCTCTATGGAGCAATTTACCCAGTCTTGCCTGCCATGACCTGCCGTTTAATAAATTGGTGTGAAATGTGGGAGGCTGCCCATTTTAATGCCCCGATGCCAAGGGGTGTTATACACTGCTCCATACTTCCCCTACACTGTCCCATGCCTTGCAGATGGCATCATAAGTTGATGATAGATAGCTCTAGCCTGAGGCCGAGCCAAACTCTGTCCCTTACTGGGCCTCCGTCATTCATGTCGACAAGCTGCCATTTATAGGGCCTCACTCAAACCACCCACTCTCACTGGGCCTATTGCACTCTGCCCCCTCTCACTGGGTCTCTTTCGTACCGCCCATCACTGGGTCACTTTCAACCCACCCTGCCCCGTACCTTCCATTCTGCACATGCCCTCAGGCTTACGTACTCTCACTCTAACTGGGCCCGATGCAGCCTCTTCAGGCTGCCCCTACACTGACCTTACTCTATGTGGGCACCAGCCTCATACCTCACACTGAGCCAAACTCAGCCTCTAGCCCCTCTCTGGGCAGCTTATATACATTTTTGTGGGGGTTGGCTCTTGTTCAGCCCTTCAGGTTGCCCTTCAACCCTACTCTGCACATCCCTGGTGCAGCCCTTTGGGTCCACCCATGCAAACCTTACTCTACACCCACCTGGGACAGTTCTTCAGGCTGCCACTGTGCACCTTACTCTGTGTGGGCCTCACATGCACTATTGACCCCTCTCTGAAGTCCCACTACTGCCCCCTCTCTATCTGAGGCCTCTGGGGTCATATGTTCCCCGCCACCCTCCACGGGGCTCAGGTGCCTCTGTAGGCATACCTGCTCCGCCCCCTCCACTGTCTGTTCCTTCTCATAATTACCCACTGAGTAGTGGGGGCTGGGGTTGTAAGGCACCCCTACCCACCTTTCACTGGGGAGGCAACTGGCCTGGCATTTCTGGGGAGCTACCCCACCATGGGTAGTCCCACCCCAGCAGGGTGCAGTTTTCAGTCATACCCAGGACCAGGAGCTTCCTACTATCCCCATAGCTCCTGCCCTTACTTCCAAGAGTGTTCTGAGCAGCAGCTCAGCCAGGTGGTGCTTCCGTGGCTGCAGCCAGCCAACTGCTGCCTGAGTCCTGGGAGCCTTGGATCTGAAATGCAGGCTGCTCAGCCCTCTCCTCCTATCCCAGAGCTCTCTTGCAGTCATGTGATTGCCAATTAGGGCTAGACCACACCTGCAGGCTGCCCTTCTGCCTGCTTTCAAGCTTTAAAGTGGCGGGCACCATAGATTACCAATATGTGAACAGGGGCTGAAAGATAGACAGCTTCAATCAAAACAAATTTCAGAGGAATTGAGCAAGAATTAGATCTATGTGGATTAATTCTTTCAGTGCGGTTGAGTAGCAAGATGATAAACTTGGAAATGTATCAGGCATGGCTAGTGAATTCAGAGACAGGTGTGGCGGGTGACATAGGCAGAGGGAGAAAATTTTGCGGGGGAGGGCTGAATGCACGCACACATGCACGCACTCCCCCCCTTCAAGGAAAGTCTGCAGGGGAAGGGGGATGGGCCAAGGGGGTGGGGGATGGGGATGGGACCAGGCAGGGATCGGAGCAGAGCTGGGGCTGGGATCAGGGTTGGGGTCTGCTGCACCCATCCCTTCCCCTGCATCCATAGTCATTGCCCAGCACTGGTGGCCCCTGTAAATTCACCATCCTGCACTGGCCCCAGCCCTGCACTGCCCAGGGTGGCCCAGAACGGGGCCAGCTTTGGCTGCACTGCTGAGCCGGAGGGGATGGAGCCCACAAGACCCCTGTGCCTGCCCCACATCATCCCCAGGAAGAGCCCTGGACCCCTGATCTCTGCATGAGGCATAGGTGGGCTGCAGCTGCAAGCTTCATGCTGCCTGCTCCATGCCTCGCGGCTGCCTTTGAAAGCAACACGATGTGGCGCCATGTGAGTCCCACTGCTGGGCAGCCCAGGCTGGGCAGCAAGGCATATGGCGCTGAGCTGCTCAGCTTTCAAAGGCAGCAGCGAGGTATGGAGCAGGCAGAGCGCAGCTCACAGCTGCATCCTGCCTGTGCCCCATGCAAAGATTGGGGGGGCATGGGCCCCCCTTTGCTGCTTGGTGTTGTGCTGCCAGGCTCCGATTGTCCCATGACCTGGCCCAGCCGGGGCCCCATTCACCATGAATGGAGCCCCAGCTGGGCCGGGTCATGGGACAATCAGAGCCTGGTGGGTCGTCCAGGGGTACGGTGCGGGGAAGTCAAAGTGGGGAAATGTGCCCCAGCTCCCCTGCGGTGCACACGGCCCTCCCCCTCCCCTAGTCCTCCCATTCCCCTGGATGACTTACCTGCTGGAACTGCTATGTAGGCTGCCTGGGGCCATTGCATGTCTTTACACATGGCACCCCCTGTCTTCTGCCTTCCTCCCAACAGCTCTTTACCTGGGCGGGGGTGTCAGTACAGGTGCCCCGCTTTCTGCTTAAACAAGTAGCTATTTCAGTTATTTAAACTGGTCAAGTGTTTCCACTGCGCGTGCGCCATTGAGACGGTAAGGGGATAGCCCCAAGGTGCCTTACTGCACATATGTGTAGTGGACTGGACCAGCCTGCATAATCATGACATGATTGATCATGTTGTTTTGAAGCTGGTGGGGCAGTGCCCAAGCACCCCCTATTAACCAAATGCCACTGAAACTTATCCATGTATATGAATGTAAAAGAATTGGTATGTTTAGTATATCGCAGAGCATAGATCTTAGATAATAAGTGACATAGTAACAATAGCAGCGTTGTAATAGTAGTGATGATGCATCTGTGACTATCATCAAAAGTAAAACAGTTTGTTAATTGTTCATTATTAAGGACAGAGTCTTGTTAGCATAATTGCTTCTCATTTACATTATAGATCTCATGTCTGAACAACTTTTGACATAGGAATTGAAGTTATAGGACAGTCACCAGAACAAAACCACTGTCTCTTTATTACAGATATGTCTCACTAATTAAGGGCCTGATTCTGCAGCCCTTACTCATGTGAGTATTCCTTGCCCTAGCAAACAGTCGCATTACTTTCAGTGGGACTACTTGTGTGAGTAAAGGTTGCTGGACAGATCTATAAAACGTGGAAATGATGGTTCAGATATAGGTCAGCCAATTCAGCTGTACCTGGAAATATGGGACTGTAACAGTCCAAAATCTAGAATTACAAGTGTTGATGCTATAATGGATTGTTGGCAAATGCATTAGAAATTCCCTGGAAAGCAAAGTAAATCAAGTCATCTATCCTGACTGAATATGCTGAAGATCAAAAGAATTTTAAACAGCAAACTGGATTGAAAAAATGTCAGAGTTTGTAATCATTTTAGATGTGCCATTATAAATTCCCCAAATTGGCTAAATAATTCTGACTTAAAACTTTAATAAGGAGCTCCTCTACAAGTACAGATGAGGCCACAGTACACAGGATTGGAAAGGTAAAAAAAATGCCATAAAATGTTATCAAAAGAGCTGTGAATTAAAGGCAGACAGGATATTATGGGCTAGACTTCCCCTGCCCTTTATTACTAAGGTTGGCCTGATACTTCCAAATAAAGCCATGTTTTCAGTTTAGCAATCGAGTCATATATTTGAGTGCCTAAATATGGCCATGCTGGATTCATACTGTGATGAAGGTACCTCTCTCCCCAACTTGAACTGAAGTACTTGTGCGTGCAGCTGATTGTAATTTGAAATGTTGGCAGTGAAGCAGAATAGTGAAAGTTCTCAATTTTCAGCTTTGATAAAAGAAAAACTTAAGCATTTACATTAAAATCACTCACATAATTATCCTGTATTAGTACAATCTTGTACCATTGTTTCAGCATTAAATAAATAATATACCATCAGTATCAGAAAAATGTAATTTGCATTTTTAATTGTAACTTCTATTTTGATTTAACATGTTTTGTTTTTTTTAATTGGGAAAATATATAAGTTCACTAATAAGAGTATTTATCATACTTTAAAAAATGAAAATATGTTAGTAATTCAAGAGTAGTTCTATTCTGAACATGATCAAAATGTTATCCTATTTTTTTCTGTGTCAGTTATTTTTCTCAGTTTGTAGATAATAGGATGTTCTTTCCAAATGTTTATCCTGCAGCTCACTATCTGGTAAATCCACTAGTAAATCATCATCAATTACAAAGATTCTGCACAATAGTACAGGTCTTCAGTTACGTGTATGCAACCCCACTGTGCTTAAAAGGGTTTGCACAATTGAGGATTTAGACTTTTTTTTCAAATAATCCTGTACAAAATAGAGTGGACTCCCCCAAGTACTCTTTCCATGGGATTAACGGAAGTAAGAAAAAAGCAGTAAAATCATACTTTAATTACTAAAACAGGTAGATTATAACTGTGAATTAATTGAACAGATGCTGTGCCATTTTAAGGTCACTTTTCAAAGTAAACTACTCAGGTATGCATACACTACAATCACAGAAATAGCGTGAGACAGTAGCACAGAGAGATCTGAGCCAGTCTGAGACTAGTTAGCTCAAATACCAGTAGCTGTCTAGCCATGGCAGGTAATGGTACATGTGGGAAAATTGGAGAGCTCTATGCTGCCAAGACGAGACTGCAGCCTAGGCATATCCTACAGGATTAACAGGTAGATGTTCTTATTGAGAATAAAAAAGGGGAATTACTTTTGCTAGTTTCACTTTCTTTTGCCACCTGTGAATCTACAAATGACACTTTCCCATGCAGACCACTCTTCCATTGTCAAAACACTTAAAAAAAAATGCATATTGAATAAGAAACATGCATTCAGTTATTTTATACATTATTTACCTTTTCAATGAATGTTCTGAAGGATTTTGTCATGTTCCTAAGTACATCTGCAATACTTCTAGGTATGTCTGGATTGCCTGGATTAGATGGCTTGAACGGACTGCAAGGGCAAAAGGGTTCACCAGGAGTTCCAGGTAAAGAATAACATTATTTACATAGAGAGCACAAATTCTTTTCAAAGGCACATATTGGATGGTACGCTATATTTTGATGTACAGCTGGTCCAGAAGACATTAATGATAAACTTTAAGACAAAACTGAAGGTTAGTGATCTACTGTGACACACCAGAAATCATTTGTGGTAAAAAGACTTAATGGGCGTGTGTAGACAAAATGAGAAACGTGTGCATGACCCTTTAAAGCAGGCTAAATGCTTCTGCACCACTTTAATAGGGTCGGTGTTTGCACATGTTGGCAGCATATTGTGCATTAATTCCAGCCGCTGTAGGAACTTCGGTGACGTAATATGCCTTAAATGACTTGGGATGCAGCAAATGAAAACTACTTCAAGGAGTTTTAGTTTCCTGCCGCTACAGCCATGGAGTGAAGCACCGGGCTCCACGTAGCTCCACAGCTCTGCAGGAAGCTCTGCAGGCAGCCTGACAGCAGCCCAGAAAAGCTGCTCTGCCTAAGAAAAGTGGCGAGCCTGATCTTTTTTTTCTTTCCTCCATGGAGCCTGCCTGCCTGCCTGAGCTGTGCAGGGGCCCGGTGCCTCTCTCCATGGCTGCAGTGCCCCCCAGGACCACCCGAGCCAGATGCCTAAGGGTGGGTGCCGCTTGGGGGGAGGGGGGGTGTGCGGGGTGGGGGGGGGGGGGGGGGGGAATGCAGCAGCTGCAGAGAGAAGGGACGGTCCCTGCACCCCCAGCAGCCCAGGGAGTGCTCCACCCACTGGCAGCTTGTCCTCCCCTCCCCGCCAGAGAGGCAGGTAAGTCAGCAGGGTGTGTGCAGGACATGGGGGGTTTAATCAGCTGTAAATTGAAGTGTTGTTTTTTAAAACCCACCACTTCAATTTAGGGCCCTTGTTTCATCTACACACGCCCAAAGCTCCTTGTTTTAATAGTCCAACAGTTTTGCTAGAATCCTTCAAACCTATTTTTACCATGAAAGTGATCAGTGAAAAGTTCCAAGTGAAGCCAAGTCACAGAGTTTTCTTATATAAAAAACAACAGTATAAAAGGAGACTTATGGGGGAAAAATTCTGGCCCCATTAAATTCAGTGGGAGCTTTGCAATGGACTTCAGCAGAGCTGGGATTTCACCCCTGCTAATCTATTTGCAGTTTTCAAAAAACACTCTACAAATCATTATTAATATTGATGCCAAGCTCCACTCCACAGCTTGTGATTATAAGTAAATGTTGAGACATTGAATTATGAAAAAAGCCAAAAAGTAATATTTCCAATTAAGGGAGATAATCATGCATCATAAAATACAACCCAAAGAGTACTGCAGCAAGGATCTTAACATTTTTGAATTGAGGTGAATGAAGGTCAGATTCAAAACTCCATTCAGCTTCCACATGAGAAGTAGAAGCAAATGTTAGGGTGATCTTAAAAAGAAGAACTTCCACAGCTGGTATTTAATGCTGTGCATCTTTATTTACATTCATGGTAGATTTCATGTACCATAATTATTTTCCTATGAAGGTCACAGCAATACAGGGCATCCAGGATACCAAGGAGAAGCTGGACTAAAAGGAGACAAAGGTGAATCTGGACAGCCAGGAATTTCTCTTCCAGGTCCTCCTGGAGAAACAGGCCTGCTAGGACTGCCAGGTAAGAAATGCGTTCCTCCCCAGTGTTGATTAGGCAACCGTTGGTCCTTCTGTATCATGGTGTATGCATGAGAGGTCACCAGGACCTTTGAGGCATATGCTAACACAGGAGTGTGGAGGAGTGGAGGCTGCCCAAACCTTCCATCCCTATTTGGATCATTGAGACAGTATCCAAAGGCCAGACTGTGTCTGGACATTCAGTGCCTCAATGGCTGTAGTTATATGCACTTCCAGAAATGAACTGCAATGCTAAAATGAAAACTCAGGTAGTCTTATCCACCTGGTCAGTGTGCATATGAACTATGTCTTTGGGATCTCTTCATTAGGAGAATGATTTTTCTCATTCTAGTGCATTGACACCTTCTGACTTTGTACAAGGAAGGAGTGAAAGCAGAAGATTAAAGACAATGGACAAAATCAGGGAACAGTTAAGATCTCATCTTGGGAAGAAATTCTCAGGGAAAAGGAGTGTAGAGACCTGGCAGTTACTACAACACCATGTTAAGGATACAACAGCAAAGTATCCTGCTGTAGAAAAACATAGGAAATATAGTAAGAGACTAACATGTCTTTCTCAGGAGCTGTTTAATGATAGGAAAATCTGAAAGGAATAATTCAAAAGTAAAGCATACATATAACTAGGGGATAGATATGAAGAAATAGCATAAGCACCAATCAGAAGGCTGAGGTGCAAAGTGAATTAAAACTAGCAAAGGCCATAAAAGATGAGAAGATACAATTCTAAAATTACATTTACATGAGGGAAAGGTCCATTACTGAAGGAGAAAGAAGAAAAAACACCATATGATACAGAAAAGGAGGCTGGAATAAATGTCTGTCTCTTTTGCTTCAGTTCTCACATAAATGGTTATGTGTAATCAAATGTTTAACACAGTTATTTTTAACTGGGAAAGCAGGAATAGAGGCCACAGTATGGAAGGAAGAATTTAAAGAATATTAATGTAAATAAAATGTATTTGGTGAAGAGGTTTTAAGGAAATGAACAAAGCATTCTCTGAAGTGTTGGAGATTATCTTCAACTCAAGGAGGCTGGGAGGTCACAGAGAACCATAAAAGGCTAAACACAATGCCTATATTTAAGAAAGGGGTGGGGTGGCGGGGGGAGGAGAATCCAGGGAATTATAGGTCAACAGGCCTAATTTTGATCCATTGAAAGATTCTGAAACTGTTTATTGTTTGTAAGGACCTAGAGCAGTGCTTCCCAACTTTTTCGTCATCATGACCCCATTTCCACAACATCGCCCCTCACTCCCAACCCGCAAACACCACCTGCCAGGTACTTCTCGGTCCCAACCCACAGCTCCCACAGCCCTGCCCCTCACCCCCAACGCACAGCCCCCCAGGTGCCCCTCCCCTACATGGGCAGCACAGCTGGAGCAGAGCCTGTGGTGGGGGCAGATGTGGACTGCCTACTGCCTGCTGTGGGCTCCACACCCAGCTGCCCTCTCCCTGGGGACCTCCATGGCCCAACGGGTGGGACCTGTTGCGGTAGGACGGGCAGGCTTGGTGCCACTGCCAGAAGCCCCATGCCAGCCATGGCAAGGCACCCCCTGACCACCCAGCAGCAGCAGCATGGAGTTGTGCCTCCTAGAGGATAACTTGGTGAAACAGCCATTGTGGAACTGTCAAGAACAAACCAATTTCCTTCTTTGATGAGGTAACTGTCCCAGTGGATGAGAAGCAAGCAGTAGAAGCAGTATATATTGACTTTGGTAATACTTCTAACTCTGTCCCACTTGACATTCTCATAAATAAATTAGGAAATTATGGTCTACATTAAATTACTGTACAAATAATGATTAAATGATGCACAAATGATTAAAAATTGTTTTCAGAGTACTTATCAGTGGTTTGCAGTCAAGTTGAGAGGACATTTCGTGATTTGTGTCAAGTCCAGTTTTATTCAGTACTTACCTTAACAACTCTGATGTCAGACAGGGCCCTGGCAGATGTTACAGTAATGACATGATTGGGATTGAGGAATTTTATGTCTCATCCAAAGCAGGACACACAATGTTTTGGGATGGGGCGTAACATTCCTCATATCCCAGTTGCACCACCGCAGAGCTGCCTCCAGCCTAATTTCCAGATTAGGCAGGGTGTGTCTGTCCTGGTCCCTAGGAATGCCCCATGTCTAGCGTCAATGCTCAGCTGAGCAGTGGCATCTGGCATGGGCAAACTTGGTTCTGGTTCAGGCTGTCCCCAGCCTGATCCAGGGGATTAGCACCAGGACCTAGGGCTGTTGAGCCTAGTGCTGACAATTAGCTGATTGGCAGCCCCAGCCCCTGTCCCAGCCCCAGGCAACCCCAGGGTTTAAGCAGCATCCTGATCCCAGGCTCCCAGTGTCCTGGGACTTCTAAAAACCATGTGTGCAGCCCAGCTTCCCACAGCTCCCTGGGACTCAGCATTTTAAAATGCCTTGCTTTGTAGCCCCTACAGGTGATGCAGAGCAAGGCAGGAAAAACTGCCAGGTGCAGTGGCTGCCAGTGAGGGGAGCCCCATAGCAGCTCATTTTCTGTATTGGAAACAGGGCTGCCCTGGTCCTGATGCCAGCCCACATTCCAAACCCATAAATCTGATTGTCAGCATCGAGATGGGGACATTCAATTTATGGCTCCATCCAAAGGAGTCACAAAAATAATCCACATTTTGTGTGATATATTTGTGGCCAGTTTTTCACTTTATGGCACCACAAATTTGCTGGACATGTTACACTGTTACTATTTATGGTGCAATTAACATATTAATAGCACCATGAATGTAGTGTGCGCCAGGGGCCACAAACTTCACTTATAAAATTGGTAGATAAGAGCCATCTGGGAAGAGTTTAAAACACTTTGGAAAACAGGAATAATTTTTAAGATGGGCTTATTAAATTAAAGAAACATTCTGAAATAAACAATTTAACAGGCAACAAAGATAAGTGAAAAATTTGGAAGGCATGACTTATGAGAAAAGGTTGATGGAATTGGGATTATTTTCTTTAGAAAGGAGAAAATGAGGGGAGGGGAGGGAGAGGCACACTGGCAGAAATATTATCTCTTCTATATTGGAAGACTGTTATAAGAAAGACGGTGGCCAGTTCTTCACACCTACTGGACAAAAAGCAATAGGCTTAATTTGTAGCATAGATTACTTAGAACAGATATTAAGGGTAGCTAATCATAGAAAAAAGCTACTTAGGGAAGCTGTAGCATACTGTTAACTGGCAATTTCTAAGAACAAGTTCTTAGACACAATCTCTTTCAGCCTGACATAGTTATAATTTCTATAGTCACGGAAACTAGAAATTTCATACAATTTGTGGAATCAGTATCAAGGAATGATATATTCTAGGCCATTTTAGTTTCAGTGGAGTTTATAGAAAGAAATGAACACTGTTTAAAAAAAAATGTTTTCTTTTTTTTGCCAAATGCCTCAGTCTTTACTGGATCATTCAGTACTCAATTATACCATTAACCCGACGGTCTGGATGACTACATCTCACACCTCTAGTATCATAGTGCTTAGGGTTGGAAGGGACCTAAACTGATCATCAGGTCTGACCCCCTGCCCCAGGCAGGAAAGGGTGCCAGGGTCATATCACCCCAGCCAAAAATCTGTCCAGCCTCCTCTTGGAGATCCCCAAGGTAGGAGAGAGTACCGCCTCACTTGGGAGTCCATTCCAGAGCCTGGCAGCACGAACTGTAAAGTAATGTCTCCTGATGTCCAGCCTGAACCTTCTCTCTAACAATTTGTGGCCATGGTTCCTAGTAACCCCGGGTGGTGCCTGGGGGAACAGAGCCTCCCCCAATTCCCGCTGGTCCCCCCGGTGAGTTTGTAAACGGCCACCAGATCCCCTCTCAGCCTTCTCTTGTGGAGGCTGAATAGGTTCAGGCTCTTTAGTCTCTCTTTGTAGGGCCTGCCCTGCTGTCCCTTGTCCATGTGAGTGGTCCTCCTCTGGACCCTCTCAGTGCTAGCCACATCCCTCTTGAAGCGCGGCACCCAGAACTGGATGCAGTACTCCAACTGTGGCCTGACCAATGCCACATAGAGGGGGAGGATCACCTCCCTGGACCTGCTTGTGATGCATCTGTAGATGCACGACAAGGTGTAGTTAGCTTTACTGACTGCTTCCTCATATTGGCGGCTCATGTTCATCCTGGAGTCAACAATGACTCCAAGATCCCTTTCTGCCACCGTATTGACAAGAAGGGTGTTCCCTAACCTATAGTAGAATTGCTGGTTCCTTCTCTCTTAGATTTGTACCTTATTTCTGCAATCCAAAATATAAGGCTGAAAATATAGTAGCTTACATATGATCTGCTCTTTTAGGTAGAGCAGGAGGTCCTGGGCCTAAAGGACATGTTGGAAGGGCTCCAGAAATTGCTCCACGCGGTCTTCCAGGGGATCGAGGGCCACCTGGCTCAGGCAGTAACAGAGGTAAAAGAAAATCAAGTGATCGTTAACCAAACCCTGAACTCAGCATTACTAGCAGCTTGTGTGTTAGTACATGAATGCCTGCAGAAACAGAAGATTTTTGTGGATGGTATCTTTTATTGCAGCAGCTCTCCTTCCAGGCCAGGGACAGAAATTACACATACATGTAACTGATTTAGGTTAAACTGGTTTATTGAATTTCTGTCTCAGATCCCCTCCAGATTCAAGTTAACTCACAGATCCTCAGCATCCCAGGATGCTTTGCACCTCCCCCACAAACCCGCCCTTGCAGGGTGGGCAGGCTAGCCTTGGCCCAAGCTGTTTGCTCCAGCTAAGCAAAGAGGCATGCTCTAGCGTGCCTGGCTTCTGGCCTGAACCACTGCAGGCATGTGTCTGCATTTCTGGAATCAAAAGTGAATGTCTGTTCACTTGCTTATCAGTTCAATTAACACAGCTTAGAATAACCTGCGAAGCCTGAATTGATTCAGTCTCAGGCTTCTTGGCTATCTGTACTTAGCCTCAATGTGCAGAGTCCCTTATCAAAGCCTTCCTGTTACAGGTACCACTTCCCCAGTCCTCTATAGATCCAATAAATTGCAGAAGGGCAGGCCACCCTGTTATAATGAAAATAATGATATTTATTACCTTTGTAAAGCACTTTTCATACATTGCTCTCAAAAAGCATTACAAAGGAGATAAACATCCCTAATGGTCTGGTATAAAGGTTTTATGTGTATGTGTGCAATATGTAGGCCTCCATGAGTTCCAGTAAAACCTTTAAAATGCACCAACTGCAATGCATTTATTGTGTATTAGGAATTTTATTCAGACTGTATTTATTATTTCCCAATACACTTGTAAATATAGTTATTACAAATCTAACTACTAGGCTAAAGATGGCATTAAAGAACCCTCTTTATCCTAAATAAGTTAATGAAAAAAATATTTTCAGATAAGTACTATGATTTTGAACTTGTTGGTTGTAGCTGTGTTGGTCTAAGGGCATGGGCAGGCAAGGTTCCTTGGGTAGATGTGATATCTTTTATTAGACGAACTAAATAGTTGGCAAACTTGTTCTTTGCAAGCTTTTGGGCACAAATACCCTTCTTCAGGCATAGGGAGAGTCTGCTGTTGTTTTGTGTGCTCTCCTGGGTAGAATAGAAGCCAATATACAAAATGCAGGTTTGTTCAGGAGGGTGTTTGTGCTCAAAAGCTTGCAAAGAACAAGTTTTGCCAACTATTTAGTTGGTCTAATAAAAGATATCACATCTACCCAAGGAACCTTGCCTGCCTATGATTTTGAAGTCTAATTTTATAGAATCTTTAGGGGACAGAAACAAGAGTTGCAATTTCTACTAAAAAATTAGGACCCTCTCCTTTTCACTGTCTTCAAACATTTCCCTTTCTAGCTCTGCAGGCTTCCTGGATAGCACAGTTCAAATGTGCTATTGCTTTAAAACTGAATGTCTCATATCCATCATCAAGTGTACTTTCTGGCTGAGATCAGCCACACATATCAGCCCCATGTTATCTACTTTTGCTGACCTGGGCTGAGCTCCTGCTTTGGGTTCATCTCTGCCAGAAATAGTATTGTAGTTTTATACAGTTTCAAGACAACTTAATATTTTGAAAGCAATCTGCCTGAGAAATTGTTCTGATTCTTCCAAAATGTGGACTTTTCCCCTTAAAATGAAATCAGCAGGAGGACTAGAATGGTGAATGGTTGATATTCAGTCCAGGGCAAATGACAGATTTACATTCTAGCATCTCACAGTCCCACAAAGCTAGAACAAGGAGCTTTTTACCTTTGAAAGGGGACTCCCAGACCTTCATGAAGCTGCAGGGCACTTGGTCCTGTAGTACAAGGTTTTAAACTTGCAGTATTTGTAAATAGGTTTTCTGTGAGTGGTGCGTGTTTTTGTGTAGAACCTCATGCCGATCTTATAATCAGTTTAAGAGCAGGTGACTGGACTTTCCAACTGCAAATGAAGGCAGCAGGACTTGTAAATTCCACAAGTCCTGTAATTCTGGCTGAAGGGATTAAAAAGCACCTTAGTTTTATTAGCTTGGATTTTTCTATTTTTATTGAAATAAACAAGGAACTGAAATAGAAAATCTTTCAGTGCCAATAACTGCCCTAGTACCTTACTCCATTAAGTTGCAGTGCCAAAAATGTGGGGGGAAGGAAGAACAGCTGGGTCACCAAGCTGGTGCCTCATTGACACACTAAACTTCTACAATTTCCTCACCCCCTCCCCACCTCTCCTAGCTAGGATACATCAAAGGCTGGCGATAGGAAGGAGTAGAAGGCTCAGGAATGGCCGGGAGCAGCTCAGAGTAGGTCTGAATGCCCCTCACCCCAAGATCTGTTCTGGGCTTGCCCAGGATAGAGAACTTAAGAGTGGCTCTCAGACATGCAGTTTGGGCTGCCTCAGGTCATCATTTTACTTGATTACCACCGGTCTCTTGTCAGCAGTGGACCCAGAGTCAGGACAGAAGCAACACAGACCTGCCTATTGGTTCTCAATGCAGATAGCACTACCCCGCTTCTCACTGGCTAGAGAGGATTTGAGTGGTTGCGGGGCAGGAGGCAGTTCCTGGAGATCCCCACGCTACCCTGCAGCAAGGCTTAGGGTAATACTTTGCTAAACACTTGGGTGATTTAGGGCCTCAATTTCCAGTAAAATCTCATAGGGCTTAGTTGCTCTTAAAAATGCTATGCTTTGTGCCAGTATTACCAGCAGTGGTTTGTTTAGGTCCGCCTGGCAGTGCTGGCCCTCCTGGAGAGATCATCTTTGTGAAAGGAGATCCAGGCAACTTTGGTATTCCAGGAGCAAGAGGGTTTCCTGGCCAACCAGGCCAACAAGGAGCCAAAGGCTTTCCAGGAAAACAAGGAAGAGAAGGCCTACATGGTATGATTTAATTTGTTTCGGTGAATACCTGCACACTCATGTGCCAGACCACACTCCACCGAGGCATGTGCAGAGTCCACTTCTTGCCAGGTGAAAGGAGAGAGTGTCAGGCATCTCTTGGCACTGCCATTATCATGGATCTGTGCATGGGGAAAGGTCAGGGCAGAAGAAGATGCACACTGTGATCCACCAAACAGGATGCAGCCAGAAAATAATGCTGTGTGAGGCATTGTTGTTTTCCATTTTGGAGCATCCTCTGATTTTGGGTGCCCTCTGGCTAGGAGAGATTTGTAAGTTTGCCAGAGGTGGAGTAAACCCTAGCAGAAAGCTCCAATTGAGTTGCATTGCCAGACAGCTGTGAGAGGCAATGAAGGTGATAATATCGTCAACATTAATGGCTTTGTACTTCCAGCAGATTTCTGGGACTTGTAAAGAATACAGGGTCTAGATTCCCCTCTTTTATGATAGGCAGAGTGAATCCAGAGAGTGCCATTCCCCTCCTACCTCCAAAAGGAAGAATTACAGGAAATACCATGAGGCTTTTCCCCGTGTGCACAAACTGGTTCCAACTATGCTGTTACTCAAAACATGGTCAGTGATCCAATGCCTCACCTTATTATATGTCCTGTGCCTTCAGTTCCCTTGGGTGATGCTGTATTTAACTGCTTGTTATGAGTAAATCTTTCAGTAATATCAGTGACCCCAACATTTTCCCACCATTTTCTTTGTAGGTCTCAGAGGCAACCCTGGTCCCCAGGGTCCTCCTGGGCAAGTTGGGCAGCCAGGAGACCAGGGCATTGAAGGTCATCCTGGGCCTCCAGGTCCCAAAGGTATTTTTGAATTGATTGTTCCTTGCCATTCATTGGTATTTATATTTGTATAGAACACGTTCATTAATGTTCATCTACATGGACAGAGTTTAAACAGCCTCAAAAAATCTGGTTGCACAGTCACCTTGGAGGAGTATAAATATATTGAGGAGGAGTTAAATAGATTTGTTTTTCTTATTATTATCTTCAGTCTTGTTCTGGTAAATTGTCATGAATTGCATTAGGTTAGTTTTAAAAGTTAGCTGTTGCTTTTAGTTATATAGCATTATTTTGAGCCACTGATAATAAAGGACAATTTAATAAATGATCATTCTGCTCAAATACTGTCACTAAGTTTTTAACAACAACAACAGAAAAAAAAAAAAAGGCAGAAGATTATGGTCCTTGCAGAAACGTGCAACAGATGCCACTTAGTACAAAAGTTCTTAATGTGTTCTGCCACCATTTTCCTTTTTGTATATAACATGCATTTCTTTACAATAGTATATTAACAGGGACTCCAGTGACACAGTAAAGAAATATTACCTCAGCTTACTGTGTCAAAATGAGAGTCTGGAAAGAATTAATCTTGAGAAACTCCTTTATTTGCCAATTAGAAACTATTTCTTAAAATAAAGAACAGATGTTTTCTCATTATGCAAATCTAAAAAATATTTTAGGACAATAAAGTTCCCAGAGTTGTTTATTTCATTTAGTCATAGATATATACTACTTTTTTACTGACTGGCATACTGATTTCAAGAGAATAAGGGATATTAGGAACTTTGTGGAAAAAAATCCTGAGGTCTTTACCTGTGTTTAAACTCAACTTTTCCTTCAGACTCTAAAAAGACTTTCCTTTGAGGAAGTCAGATTTTGATTCAGTGAAGACCGAGTATATATGTAATAAAGGCTAAAACCCAGATTACCTCTGTTACTCTTACCAGCAATGTTTTCCCTAGGAACCTTTTCTGTATCATGTATTCAGATGACTCTCTAACAGCAATGGCTACTGAGGAACAACATAACACTTACATGTTGCTGCTTACACAAGGCAGCTGCAATGGAGTTCCTTGCAAATTGTTCCCTTAGTTTAGATTTGTAGAGAGGGGGGCAGCCATTCCTGTAACCTTGCGTCAGCTCCTGTCAGTGCTATATCAGTCCTGCCTTTTGCTTTCTTAGGCTCCTCACAGAAAAACTGAATCTCCCAGATATTTCTATATGGCAGTCTGTCAGATCACCAGATTTGTAAGCATGTCCAACCTCTAATCCTACCACAATGACACATGTTTGGGGATTGTTGGGGTGTATGAACATGTAACAGAGGTGGTATTTCCCTGCTTTTGTATAGTCCTGGTCAAGGTCCTCACCTAGACAGCCCTCTCCACACGTGGTTCTAGTGAAAGTTCTAATAAGGACTGCAGGATTTGACACAAGGGCATTTTTTCATGAGTATCTGACATGTCACCAGGCACTTTTAATTAGCAAGTTGTGCTAATTAAAGCATATTGAATGTGTTTTATTTCAAAGCACACAGCTGCCATTTTCTTAGTGCAGAGACACTCTGTGCTGCAGATACACATGACGCGTGAGGCTGCCAGAGCACATCAATTTATGTGCTGCAGTCGAGTCTGCTCTGACATGCTGGATTTCCAGCACATCAAAGCAGGCTCCCCACATGTGTGCAGGTGCCCTGACACTGCCAACAAGAAGAGACTGACCACTCACAAAAAACACTTCCCCATGTAACAAATGCTATATTTTACAGAAGTCATCTGATCGATATGTGATCCTTTGTCGATATGAAAAAAATCTCATCCTGTGTTCCAAGACCTGTGCTTTTATATATTTTGCCATTAGTATGACTAATATTACCCTCATGAGCTATTTCAGTTCTAATTCCATTCCATTCCTCATTCTAATTTACATGCCTGAAACTTGTTTCCACACTGCATCACAATGGCTGCTGTGGTCTGCTTTCCCTGGTTTGAATCCTTCAGGCTTCAGAGGTAAGCAGGAAAAATTTCTTCGACAGAAAGTTGTTCTGCAGGTCTAGGTTTCTTTCTATGCTCTCCAACCTCATGGGATAGAAGTCATGTTTGATAGCTAAAAGTGATAAATACTGTTTATAACAATGCCAGAACTGGCACAGGGAGCCTTTGCATGTGGCAAGTGGCAGACCAGGAGGAATACAGGCAGCATAGCAGCAGATAGGGCAGGAAACAAAGCAAAGCGGAATATTGGGTAGGGGAAGGGGATTGAAGTAGCAATTGGGAAGGATATCAGGCTAATTTGTGACATGTTTGATAAAAAGGTTGGCCCCCACTAATAGATAGGTGGTATTTCCAGGCTGAGTAATATCATACTAGTGTCATGATGAGGAGCTTCATAACTAAGTGCCTGTATATAGAATGAGATATGCTTGACATGTAAAATATGGGGGTGTCTCTTAAATTATTTTTATTTCATTTTATCTGCTGCCTCACAGCCGTTTAACCAGCTGAAACCCACTAACAAAGTCCATGTTCCTATTACCAGATTTGAGGAACCAGACACTTAAACCCATTGACTTCAGTCCAGTAGATCCTCTTAGTCGCTCTGTTTTATTACAGAATGCAATGGATGAATAAAAACAATCAGAACAGGTATTCTGTCAGATGTTTGTGAGTATTCACCTTTGCATTCTGTAATAAACACCACAAAGGACCATCAGTAGGTAAACTGTAGCCATTCTCTGGCTGCTCTTTAATGTATGCAAGCCCTGTGGGATGCAACGTCTAGCTCCTTACCTCTGATCTACACAAGAAAAGGCAGACAGTTACCTTCTTAACATAAAGCATCATAAGCTGTAATGTATACTGACAAGTTCTTTGGATAAAAGTGATATCTCTTATTAGACCAACTAGGTAGTTGGAAATATTGTTCTTTGCAAACTTTCGGGCATAAACAGCCTTCATCAGTAATGTATGTTGAACTCTTAGGTTAGGGACACATATTCAAAAAGCCTGAAGAGATTCAGTCTTTGCAGGTTAGTTTAATCTGGCTAGGCTAAACTAGTTTGTAACCAAGCAGACATCCCAGAAATGCAGGCACATGGGTGTGTCTGGTTTAGCTTAAACCAGCAAGGGGTCTGGGACAGACATTCCATAAACTGGTTTGACCCAAATCAGTTAAGTCTGATGCAACATTCAACCAGGTTTATCTCAACCTGCTTTCAGCCATTTTCAGACTGGTTAATGTGCACTGAACATCTGTTCTGTTACAGGTTTAAACTAGTTTCTGACCACTTAAACTGGTTTATGTGTAATATATATCCCTAGCCTTATGATCTAGGTTTCCCCCAGGTTTCAGCTCAACCAGTTCAGGCCACATGAAGACAAGATAAAGACATTTAGCACACCTTAACAGACAGGCTAATCATGCCATTACTTCCTTGCCTAAACAAAGCTTGAGAGCAAAATTAAACCAGTGAGACTCATTGATTTAAGTTTTTAGAAAACTATTTAAAAACACAATTGAATACTGAAAACTAACAGGGTTTTTATATTGATATCTCATATGGGAGCCATTATCCATGTTTTGATCCAATTTCCTTTCTTACTTCACATTGCAGGTGACCCTGGTGAACCAGGAAAAGTTGAAGACAACTTATGCCCTAAATTTCCAGGGCTTCCTGGCAGAATTGGGTCAAAAGGACATGAAGGGCCTAAAGGATTACAAGGGCCAAGAGGCTACACTGGATTCCCAGGTATGGCCTCTACTAAATGCTTGGATGGATATTTTGAGACTAACAGAGTATTTAATATATGTATTTAATATATTAACTATATTATATAAGTATTTAATATACAACTGAGTACAGGGGGTGAGAATGTTTCCATCTTTTCCCTTTTAATTTTATCATTTCCTTCTTCTTGAAGATGCTAAGGACATGAACAACTGAACAAATCAGGAGTTAAAATGGGGAGCAGGGGTTAACTGACATTCAGTTACATCTGTGGGCTCGGTCTTATGCTGCTTTAAGTGGTAGTTAAACTGGCAGCTTAGCGATCAGTGAAATAGGGTTAAGTTACTGTGGTTTACTATGGGTACATGAATGGTTAGCATATTCCAGCTGCTCTGTAATAAAGTCCCTCCCCCTTTTAACTTGCTGTAATGCAGTGATTCCCAAAAGGTGTTCCATGGTACAGTAGTGTGCCACAAGACCCCCACCCCCTCCCATCTAAGGAGAAAAATGCTCTCTTCCTCCATTTGGTACCCTGCGCCTGCCCTAGCTACTCCTCTGGGGACTGTTGCTGCTACTGGCTTTCTCCATGCTTCCTTGCCCCCAAGTCAACCCCTGCGCCAAGCCTCCCATACTCCCAGCAGTGTGCTTTGCTGCAAGCAGGCAGACACACAGAGTGAGTCACACTGCAGCCCAGCTTGCCCCTTCCACTTCTCCCACATTCCTGGCCAGTATGTGAGATCCTGCAGGAGAAGCCTCAGAAGCAGGGGCTGCCCTTGCCCCTTGAGGTACAAACCACGGGCCAGCAGGGGGCAGAGAGTGGAAAAAGCAGAGCACGGTAGGACGAGACCCTGTCCTTGTGGCCCTTAAGTAGCACTAGCTACTTAACTTAACTTAATTGAGAACACTAGCTAGATCAGGGTTCTCAATTTTTTTTTAGCTTCAGGGCCCCCCCACATATGTTTTCTGAATTTAGATCTATCTTAGTGAATTTCAACTGTGGTGCCACAAAATTCAAAAAAGATATGGAGGGGGGAGGCCTGTAAAAAGGTGGAGAATCACTGGAATACGAGACTCATTCTTTGATTAAAAAATACATATTTGGTGTCACTTTTTTTTTTTTTTACCAGTAGATCTCATCACTGGTATGTTTTCCTCTGGGGTATGGAATATGTGTAACACACACACACACACACACACACCCCCCCCCCCCACCCCCACCCTTTTTGGGCATATCAAAAGTTTGGGAAACACTGCTGTAATTCCTTCATTAGTCCACAACTTAATGAAGTACAGGAAACCCTCGTTATTCGCGGGTTTGGCATTCGCGGTTTCAAATATTCACGAATGCCAAATCCACATTTTAAATACACTTTATACGCTTACCGGAGCTCCTCTGGAGTTTTGTGCTTGCTGCCGCCAGGCTCCCACTGCCACTGCCGGGTTCCCACCGTCCTCACCAGTCGTACCCCACCCCACCCCCCAGCCGCTGGGGGCACTGCATTCATGAACACAGTGCCTTATTCGTGGACTTCGCCATTTGCGGGGGATATGAGAAGTTATGCCCCGCAAATGGTGTGGCTTGCCTGTATAGTAGGTCAGAATCGCCAAAAGGACAGTGAGCAGATTGGTGTGGAAATGTTAACTGATTTATGGTGTTCCTCATCCATGAAATAAATGCAAAAGCAGATTTTTTTGGGGTGTGTGTGTGAAAGACAGAGATATGTGTGTGTGAGATTTTTTTTTCCTGGACCAAGTGGGAGAGCTGGGAGAGCTTTAGACAAACTTTTGGGCACTCAGGTCTGAGAAAGAAACAGGCACAGCTTAAGTTAAGTAACTGATAGAACAAAGGTCTGTGTAAAATTCCATATGTAAATAATAAGTCTGCTTAGAGGGATGAAGCTGGACTGTGAATTAGAAGGAGGACATTATTAACAGGAGTAGCTAACAGACAAGAGAAATGCAGGAGAAAGGATAATTTGACTAGTGCAAGAACAAGACCATTTGTGGCAGGGCCTGTGTGTGCCTGCCACTTTAAGGGCCTGGAGCTGATGGCCACCAGGTGCCTGATGAGGGCAGCCATTTTGGAGTCAAGGGCTGCCTATATAAACAGGGCAGTTTGGCTGCTGGGGGGTCAGGCAACAACATTACCTGGCCAGAGGGCTGCTGAGATCATCTGGAGGTAAGGGAGGAGCTGTAGGGGATGGTAAGGAGGCTCCTGGTCCTGGGCATGACGTAAAACTGCACCCTGCCGGGAGTGGGTGGCCTGGTGGGGCTCTCAGTGGTGCGGGAGCCCCCAGGAAATGCCAGGCCAGTTACCACCTCGGTGAAAGGCGGGTCTGGACGCCTTAACACCTAGCCCCCACCACCGGGTGGGTAACCCCTGTGTTTGTGAAGGGTCCAGAAGGCAGATCCTGGGAGAGAGTGAGCGGCTAGAGACCTGACCCGAACGAGAGAGGACCCTCGACTGGCCCATGCTGGGGCCAGGACCAGGATGGTCAAAACGACCAGAG